AATTTAGAAATGTCAAATTTTTTCACTGCGACCTTTCATTATGACCTTTGACATAATCAGTGATTATCAAATCATTCGTCTGTTTGACAAAAAGATTAAAAACCACAATCATAAATCTGATTAGAAATTAATGAACAAGCTAAATGAGAATTCTTTATTATCATCCCAATGTCGCTTCTGGATTTTATATCTAAGCTTATAGCAATAACGATTGCAATATCCTAAATATCTTATAAAAAAGATGGATGAACATACGTACTGCGCATATTAATATTTAGCAAAGATGGACTAAGATTAATAATTAGCAATCATTGGATATTTTTGTATAAATTGTATTTAAAATTAAGTACGTGTAAATCTTATCGGCGATAGTGAAAAGGGATCCTGTATAAAGACTTTCATCCATCCGGTATACATGTCGAAATTATTTCTACTTGAGTCGATACTTGAGTCGACACTTTTATGGTTTATGTCGTAAATAGTTTAGGATAAGCCGAAATTATTACTTGTCATTACGTAAGAGTTAGCGATGTAAACTTAATTAAATTTAAATACGTACGTACGTGATAATTTTAACGGAGATGATGTATTATATTGATATGATAGCCATAATGATAGCAATAATAATCGTAAAATTAACTATTTTTTATTTCAAACTTAATTTTCTTAATATGATTGATGAATCGACTCCCGCAGTTTATCTTTAATTATGTCAACCCAATTACCTATAATCAGAAATAAAAATAGAACATTGAAACGAAAAAATGCAGGCGAGCAAGAGAAAAATTTAGGATTACTACGTAACAAGTAACGTTATTAATGATCGTGCAACTTGACATTATTGTTCAAAACATTGGAGTTATTGCCGTCGTGAAAAATGGAAGCTTATCTCCTAAAGACATGAAAAATATTGGCAAGAATTACTTTCTAATAAAATTAATTAGTTATAAACAAACAAAGGCTCGAATCATAAGCGATTATAATACGGAAGATTCCATAAATAGAATAATGAATAGTGAATATGATTTATAATTAGATTAGTAAAATTTATAATGATGCTAATAATATGTATAATATGTGGTATATAATGAAATTTATAAAGCATTAGCGTTAGAACGATGTAGGGATCTTGGTCTGTAACAGGTAGTGCGCACACACGTATGTACGTACATAAACAATGGTAATATAATGTGAAAAACTTATTTTTATAGTTTATAATATTTTTAACATAAATAATGCAAATTTTATTTTATCATTTTTGCGATGCGATAAATTCTTGCAATTAAATACGTTAAAATATTTATAATACAAAATTAATTTAACATCGCTAGTAAGAGTAGAAAGAAACACTCTTTATCTTTCACCTTTTTAACCATTTAATGCTTACAATCGTGCTAAGTCTAGTAGCAACGTGTATTAAGCTCTACCGGAATTGTACCATACTGTAAATGAAATTTCGGAAAATCAGCAATTCTGGTTTTTCGCTTTTCGGCACTCAAACGATTTTTATACTTCACTAATGCAAATAAAGGAATTTAACCATCTGTAAACATAAGTATCTCACTTTAGATAATAGTTCAATTAATAAGCCATATCAGAAATTATAACACGGATGCAAGGAATTTCAAATTCGAGACAACAGTGCACTGGACAGAACGTCTAAAATGCGGATTCCGTGCAACATTGCACATATTCACATGCACGTTTAAGTTGATGGAATAACTCAAGTTGGATATTGTTATAAAGATGGAATTGGAGTTGAAAAGGATGAACATAAGGCTTTCATATATTATCAAAAATCTGCAGAGATGGGGAACGCTGCTGGAACAAATTGGGTTGGATATTGTTATCAATATGGAATTGGAGTTGAAAAGGATGAACATAAGGCATTCATATATTATCAAAAATCTGCAGAGATGGGGAACGCTAGT